AATATTCACTGCTTATTGTGAAAATGTTCTTTACACTACTAGAAAACAGGCCATTTCCGACGGCAAAATTCCGTCCGGAAACACCCTAAATTCCGTCGAAAAACACTGTTCCAACGGAATTTCCGTCGAAACGGGTTGTCGGAACACCCATTGTAGGGAAAACGGCCAATTTCGTCACAATTTCCATAGGAAATAATTCGCCGAAAAAAGTTTTCCGGTATCGGAAAGTCCGTCGGAAATTTCCGATGGAATTCAAATTCGCTGGAAAATTCCGACGGAAATTTCCGTCGAAAAATTCAATATAAAAAAAAAAAAAACAGCCCCCCACCCCCACCCCCACCCCGACCACCCACCCCCGCCCACACCCACCTGCCCAGACCACCCACACCCACCCAAACCACCACCACCCACACCCACACCCACCCCAGACCACCCCCACCCACGAAGACAACCTACCTCACCCACCAACACCCACCCTACACCACCCACCCCACAGACCAGGATCACCACCCATCCCCCCACACACTGACCCACGCAGACCACCCACCCTCCCCTTAACCAACGCCACTCACCACCAGCCCCCACCACTTCAGCCCCACCACCGTTCACCCAAAAAATAAAAAAAACACAAAAACATCATTCACTAAATTCGTAAAAAATCGAAACAAATTACGAAATTAAGCCAAAAAAATCGAAAACTTCAACACAAACAAATCAAAACCAGTAGATTTACATATTTAATTAGAATTTCATGAAAAAAAATTAAAAAAAAACCCCGACAATTATACATTAAAAATTAAAGAAAATACAATTATCTAATCAAATTTATAATCAAAATGACAATTACATAAACAACTAAGTTAATCTACAATCTAACTTAAATTTAAACTAGATCTACAAAAATATGAAACTTTCGCGCAAAAGCCGAGATCGAAAACGCTTACACCGTTGTTGTTGATGTTGGTTGGTCGTAGTTGTTGATGAATGCGCCGTTGTTGTTGTTGATGATGAATGCGTCGAGATCGAAACCCTTATTTTATGAATTTCGCCCAAAAAAAATGAGATCAAAAACATTGAATTTTTGTGATTTTCGAACTAGCATGAGAGGAGGGAGATCGAATTAAAAACAAGGTGGTTCGTTGATGGAAAGAGAAGGGGAAAGAGGAGAGAGAAAGAGAAATGAGGGAGGAGAGAGAGGCGCACAGAGAAATGAGGGAGGAGAGGAGAGAGAAAGAGAAATGAGGGAGGAGAGAGGAGAGAGGCGCATTAGAAGAGAAAGAGGGAGGGGATTTGGGGAACGTCTTTTTTAGGGTTTTTTTTTTTTATTTTTAATAATTACTTTATTTTCGACGGAATATTCCATCGGTATCTTCCAACGGGTTTTAATTTCGTCGGAAGTATTAATATTCCGAAGGAATATTCCGTCGGAATCTTCCGACGGATTATAATTCCGCCGGAAAAGTAATTTTCCAACAGAATATTCCGTCGGAAACCCTTATAGTTCAACGGATTTTAATTCCGTCGGAAAATTCCGACGGAATAAAAATCCATCGGAACTTCTGACGTTTCCGACGGAATTATGTGTCCGTCGGAAACAGTTCGTTGGAAATCGGCCTATTTCTAGTAGTGTTAAATTTTTGTTTAGACCATCCTTGTTAAATTTAAATATTTTAATTTAGGTAGTGCTTATTACATAATATAATCACGTTCTTTATAAATGTTATGGATGTTCTTTGGATATGAAAACCAATCATCAATATATGATGTCCAAAAAGAATATCTCCAGCAACCATCGTGATCCTGAAAAAAAATGTAGACAATTATTTAATGTTATTAACATAAAAAATATATATAAATTTATTAAAAATGACGTAAAAACTAATTTTAAAATAATATGTGCTATATCACTCGATACCTAAAAGAACATAAGAGTTAGAACAAACGAACATGAACATAAAAGAACATATTATTCAAGTAAAAAGAACATAGTTCATATTATTGAAACACAAAGAACATTATACCTTAAAGAACATAATTTGTAATGTAAAGAACATATTGTTTAGACTCAAAGAACATATTAATCAGACTTAAAGAACATATTTCATTACAATTAACAAGTTGAATGCGTGATAAAGTAATCAAAAGAACATCATTTTCAACCTTTGAAATAATACACACACACACACGCACAAAAAAAAAAAAAAAAAAAACCAATTTCCTTTGATTACGAACAATCCACAAATAATGAAATTTAATAATTTAAGAGAACATTATCATTAGCATCAACATCGAAATTATAATTATAAAATTTTAATACGGAAAAACCTATAAAAAAAATTACCTTCACATTTGCTTATGAAATCCTCAAATTCATCTTCATTATTAACCAAATCTTCATTCTCATACGTAATATCAACAAACCTGTAATGGAATCATGTCGAATTTCTTACACCCCGCCATTAATTTTCTCTGCTAAATTTTTTTTCTTTCTCGAAGTTCTCTCTGTATTTCGAAATTGTAATTATGTCTCTCCATATATCAAATCTATTTTTGAAAACTATTAATATGGAGAATAACTAACAAATCCCTAAAATTAAGGAGGAATCATTTTAAAAAAAAAAGAAGCTAATTTGAAGAATGCCTTTATTTTCTACAGGGTGTATCCTGAGCATAGTAAACCTTGGTGTACTATGCAAATTTCACTTAGGGTATACATAAGGAGCTAAAAATGAAAAATATAACATTTTTTTTTAGGAAAATGGATGGCGTGCCTTTTATTATTAGATTATCTATCAATACATACGGGGAAACCTCACTAGAAGCATGGTTTTCCCAAACTTATTCACAATCAAACGGCACAATACGGGCTAAATGATAAGCTACGCTATTACCCTCCTGCTTTACATGACACCAAGAGATAGAATTAAAATAACTACTAGAGCTAAGTACATCATCAAGCAAGCTATCCAGTTCGGTGAGGAAAATAGATCCTTCGCAAAGTCTATTTATCAAATTTTGACTGTCGGATTCCACAATGATGTTGTTGCAGCCATATCGTCGCGCGAGCTTCATAGCCATAGCAGCAATGATAGGAGGCCAATATGCCTTGGTGCGTCTGGTAGCAGCAAATAAGACTTCCCCCTTTCAGTTTCTCGCCACTACTCCTGTAACGACCCAACCCTCATCACACAAGGACGCATCACTATTCAGCTTGATAACCCCTTCAGGAGGAGCCACCCAAGTTTTGGGGCTACGGCAACCTTTCGATCTCACAGCCCCATAAATCTTCTTCGAAACAAAGATGCATTCACTCACAAGACTCTTAACTCTATCAATGAGCACAGGATGAAAAGTTTCTTTCCCATTGAAAATTTTCTCATTTCTTCTTCTCCAAATGTTCCACATCAATATCGCTCCTCTGCACTCCTTCTTGGAGTCCATCTCTTTTCATGATTCGAAAAAATCCAGGAAAGATAAATCATGAGGCCAATTCACAAGATCTTGATAGTTGCATTCAGTCCAAAGATCACTGACAGTTGTGCATTCAAAGAACACTAGTAGAAAAATAGAAATTAGCACCGGTTTAAAACCCCCCTATAGCACCGATTTAAAACCCCCCTATAGCACTGGTTTTGAACCGTTGGTTATTTGAGGGATGCCAAAAGCCAAGTAAATTAGCACCAGTTCAAAACCGGTGGTAATATTTGTCAATAGCGCCAGTTAACCGATGCTAATTTGTTGTTATTAGCACCGGTTAACCGGTGCCCATTATGCTTTAAAAAAATAAAAATAAAAATCGATTTTTTTCACTTAAAAACCAGCCACCACAACTTAACCCAAATGTCCAAACCCAACTGCTTTCCCCCGACCTAACCTAGCCACCGCCGTCATCCAACAACCATCACCACCACAGCCGTCATCCAACCACCACCACCATCACCAATGTCATCTAGCCACCATCGTACACCACCACCACCGTCATCAACAAAAAAGGAAAAAACTCAAAAAATTCAAAATTAGAAAATTAAAATTAAAAATATAGATCTTTATACAATTTACAAAATAATTTACATAATTTACTAAAAAATTACTATCTAAAATTACAAGTAAAAAAAAAACAACTAAACTAGTTAAACAAACAAAAACCTAGATCTAAATTATAAACTAAATCAAAATCAAAAATTCAAAAAATAAAACCTTTTTCTTTGAACTCCAAAGAATCCCGTTCACCACTTGCTTGAACTCGAACAAGATTCGAACAAAAACATCTTGCTTGAACTCCAAAGAATCTCGTTCACCACTTGCTTACTCGAAAAAGATTCGAATGAAATTCGAACGAAAATCGAAGACCTCACACTTTCTAGGTCGTCTAACCGTATTGCGGCTCGGTGCTCGAAAAGAGATGAAAACGAAAAAGGAAGGAGAGATGAGAGCAGAACGAGATGGGAACGAAAGAGGAAGGAGAGATGAGAGCAGAACGAGATGGGAACGAAAGAGGAAGGAGAGATAAGAGCAGAACGAAAGAGGAAGGAGAGATGAAAGAGAATTGGAGATGAGAGCAGAACCAGAGATGACAGAGAAGGAGAGTAGACCTAGAGAGGGAGAGAATGAAGTAGAGAGGCGGATGAGACAGGGGGGGTAAAGGGTTTATAAAATTGCAATTGGCACCGGTTAACCGGTGCTATTTCTTTTTTTTTTGGTTTTCATTTTCTAAAACAAATAGCATCGGTTAACCGGTGCCATGGTATTTTTGCCTACCGATTTTTAATAACCGGTTCTATTTCTTTGGTGCTAATTTTTATTTTTCTACTAGTGGAAGGTGTGTCTAATAGTTTCTGGGTAGTCAGCACACCATGGACAAACCTCCACCTCCGACATATGGCGATGCTTGAGGTAGGCTCTAACTGGTAGTGTACCAGTGCAAATTCTCCAAAGGAAGTGCCTAACCTTCGGGGTGACATCAAGTTGCCAAAATTCCACCAATGCCCTATGAAAGTCATCTAATTGCAAGATTTTCCAAGCATATAAGCCGTTTTCACCGAGTAGAAGCCATCCATTGAAAAAGCCCAAGTTACCGTGTCTGATAGGGATCGAGAACTCAGAGGAATGGGAAGAATGCAGCAAGTATCTTGATCATTAAATATGCTTGAAATCAGAGCTACATTCCATTCCCTTATCTCCTGGTCAATTAGCTTTCCCACTATCTCAAAAGCATCTATTTTTGGAGTGGAAATGAACCTGCTAGTGCCACTGCCAATCCATGGATCACACAAAATGTTAACAGTAGCACCATCACCAATGCGCCACAAAATTCCCTCCTTTAGCAGAGTTTTTGAAGACCAAATGCTCTGCCATGAATAGCTAGAAGCAAAGCCCAACCTCGACTCCAAATAACTGCAGTTAACGTAGTATTTTGCGCTAATTACCTTACTTAGAAGAGAGTTTGGAAATTTCATTAGACGCCATGCTTGTGTTCCGAGAAGAGCATCATTAAAAATCCGCAAATCCCGGAACCCCAAACCACCAAGGCACTTTGGGGTGCATAAATCACTCCAACTCTTCTAGTGGACCTTGCGGCAATAATCACTACTACCCCATAGGAACTTTGCCATCATTGAATGATTATCATTAATTACGCTTATAGGCAATTTGTAGACTCCCCTTAAGTACTTGGGTATAGCTTGAATCATCGCTTTAAGGAGAATTTCTTTTCCAGCCCGGAACAACAACTTTTCTTTCCACCCATTCAATTTCTTCCATATCCTATCTTTCAAAGCCATGAAAACCATCCTCTTCGATCTTCTGACAATAGTAGGAATAACTAAATATTTCTCGTAAGAATCCACCCGTCTCATTGCCAAAATCTCAAGTAATTCTTCTTGCAGCGACGTACAAACACCCTTTCTAAAAGAGACCTCCGATTTGTCATAGTTAATTTTCTGTCCGGAAGCTGCTTCATATATGTTGAGAGTTTCAACTATTTTCGAGCATTCTCTTCGGTTAGCTCTTGCGAAAAGAAGATTATCATTTGCAAAAAGTAAGTGAGAAATTTCTGGAACCTTACGACTAGCTCTAGCTCCATGGAGAGAATCATCAACCATTGCTTTCCTCAGAAGACCAGAAAAAGCATTGGCAACAAGAATATATATATAAGGAGATAAAGGGTCTCCCTGTCTAAGACCGCGGGATGGAGTCACCGAACCACATACACCACCATTAGCAATGAAAGAGTAGGAAACTGTTGTTACACAGTCCATCTCAGTGTCAACCCATCTTCCTACAAACCTCAATTTTAAGAGGAGCTTTTCGAGAAAATTCCATTCAACTCTGTCATAGGCTTTACTCATATCTAACTTCATAGAAATCAAGCCCTTTTTCCCCTATCACCTTGTTTTCATAGTATGAAACAACTCCAAAGCACTAAGAGCATTATCTGTAATGAGTCACCCCGGAATAAACGCACTATGATTTTCTAAGACAACTCCAGGAAGAATATTTTAAGTCTCATAACGATCGCTTTTGAAGCTATTTTACACAACACATTACACAAAGCAATTGGTCTAAATTCAACCATTGAGGGAGAGGAATAAACTTTTGGGATAAGAGCAATGTTAGTATTATTAACAGGGCTAATAGATTCGTTACCCTGTAAAATATTACTAACAAACCTAGAGACATCATCACCAACAATATGCCAAAATTTTTGATAGAAAATAGCATGCATACCATCGGGTCCGGGAGCTTTACAAGGGTGCATTTGAGCTATAGCGGCAAAGATTTCCTCCTTTGAGAAAGGTTGAAGCAATTCTGCATTAAAATCCGGGGTAATAATATTCTCCACCGCATCAAGAACAGTGTCACATGCCTCATCTGAATGAACTCCGGAATGTGAACAGATTCTTGTAGAAGCTCTGAACTATATCCTCTAATTGACGTTTGTCTTCTCTCCAAAATCCACTGTCATTAAAAAGTCCCTTAATCTCATTCTTTTTCTTCCATTGCGTGGCTTTGTGGTAAAAGTACTTCGTATTCCGATCTCCAGCTTTAATCTCAGAAGCTCTAAAGCGCAAATACCAGTAGGACTCTTGTTTATCTAGCAATTCATCTAATTGCCTTTCCGGCTCGGTACATTTAGCAATGGAGTCTTTAGAAACCTGCTCACCTTGGGCAAATTAAAGCCTGTTCTAATTCATCAACCTGCTTATTCAAATTCTGAAATTTCTTCCCACTCCAGATTTTCAAACTGCTAGCCACTACCTTTAATCGATCAGCCATCCTGCCAATATGACCCCTCCACGAGTCTCGCACTACATCCTCACATTCTCCCTCCAACATCCAACAAGTTTCAAACTTGAATTCCTTTTTTTTCTTTTTCTTCTTGTGTTCACCGATTATGAGAAAAATCGGAGAGTGGTCTGATTTAAACCGAACCAAGTTCTCGACAAGCGGGTTCAACGGGATGGAAAACCATGAACCATTAGCAATGAATCTATCCAGTCTTTCCCTAATTAGAGTATGCACCGATAATCCCTTCTCCCAAGTGAACCAAGGACTAGAGAAGCCTAAATCCTGGAGCCCACATTGTTGCAAAGTCTCTCGAAAATCAGGGATGGCAAGCCTCTCATTATTAGCACCTTCTTCCTTCTCATCATACCTGAGTATTTCATTAAAATCACCACAAAAAAGGATCAGACTATCATAATTCTCACAGAGGGTTTTATTAGACTCCAAGTCTTACTTTTGTTCTCTGCCTCCGGCCAGCCATATAGTCCCACGAATCTCCAACTCTCACCAGAAACAATCTTAACATCTCCACAAATATGATTTTGTGAGTAAAAGACTAAGTTGAAATCAATATTGTATTTCCAAAAGATACAAAGACCCCCGCTCTCCCAACATTACTAACTCTAAACGCATATAGAAAACCAAACCTGAGTTTATTATTTTCAGCAATAGATTTATTAATTTTCGTTTCAGATAAAAATAACAAGTCAGGGGCTAATGAATAACACCACTTTCGTAGTGCTCTAACTGCCCGGGGTTTGCCAAGACCCTGGCAGTTCCAACATAGCGTACTCATTGTGAATGGCGTGGTTGATCCATGTCAACCATCGCCGGACTAGCAGCTCGAATAGTCAACTCAGAGTCGATTTTTGACCGTTTTCCAAGGGATGACTTGTCCACAGCTAGTACAGAAAAAGAAACAGCTTGCTTACGTTTACCAGATAAAGCAGTAGGCTCCACCATCGATGAATCTATATCTCTGTCTATCCTCTTCCAAGACTTCCTAAGGGATTTTTGCTCCCGAATTGTAGGAATATTCCCACCACCAAAGTCAGCAAATGCAAAGGAAGGGGCCACCACTCCTTCAACATTCTCTGTAATGACAAGAATAAAGGGAGTTGGATTGCTTATTGTAGCAATCTTTGACACAGGAACCTCATGCCCCAAGGGGTCTGACACCGATCCTTCATTCAAGATATGCCCCTCCACAAATTTTGAAGACTATGAATCATCTCCTAAAGCCATCTCCTTACTACCAGTCACATCAATTTTCTTACGAGCAGGTGAGGAAAAAGTCAGTTAGCGAGCCACTCCAGGATGACCTTTGTGAACAGCTTGCGGATTATAATACCCTGGTAGTTTAGGTATGGAATGTCCCTTTATTCTTACCAGCCATGATTTTTCTTTTTCCTTCTCAAAAGCCTCCATATGAACCTGTTTTTTTTGGTGAAGCACCTAGCCGCGCTCCATATTGTTGGAACAACAAGTGTGTAGTGTGTGAATTTTGTGAAAAAACTCAAAGTCCCACAGTCGTTTCTGCCTTCGTGAACACTATGTCTACCGAAGAAATGACTATGTCTGCTGACCTTAACAAGCCCTTTCGTTTTGAGGGCGCTCACTTTAAAAGATGGAAACAGAAAATGCAATTTTTCTTAACTGTCAAAAAGGTTAATTCTGCCTTAACAGCCTCCTTCCTGGAAAGATTTCAAAAATAATCTCAGGCATAAGACTAAGGAATTCTCCTTAGAGAGTTTGATCACTCGGCTACGTATAGAAGAAGAATCCAGAAAACAGGATCTAAAGGAAGAGATTTTACAAATCTCTGCTAATAATGCTCCTAGACGACCTGCTGCAGTACTTAAACCTGCTGGTAAGAATTTCAAACCTCAGAACTGGAAGAATAACTTCAATAAACCGAATGTTCAAAAGAACAATGGAAGACAACAGTCTCAACCCCCTAAGAATGGTACTGGTCAATTTATGTGCTATCGGTGTGGAAAACCAGGCCATATGGCACGAAAGTGCAGGAACATGCCTAACCCTGTGCCTGCGCAGGCTAGCATGATTGAAGAGCCTTTTGTGGCTATGATTACTGAGATCAACCTTACTGGTGGATCAGATGGGTGGTGGATACACACTGGTGCCACACGCCATGTCTGTTATGATCGTCGGATGTTTAAAACATACACTGAAAAGACCGATGATAAGAAAGTACTGTTGGGTGATTCCCATTCCACTAACATTGCTGGTGTTGGAAATGTTGAGTTGAAGTTTACTTCTGGCAGGACTCTCATTCTGAAAGATGTGTTACACACTCCGGAAATGAGGAAGAATTTAGTTTCTGGTTTTTTGCTTAATAAGGCTGGTTTTATACAAACCATAGGTTCTGATTTGTTTACTTTAACTAAGAATGGAATATTTGTAGGAAAAGGATATGCTACTGATGGCATGTTTAAACTGAATGTTAAAGTTAATAAAATTTCTAATTCCGCTTATATGTTGTGTTCTACTATTAATGTTTGGCATACTAGACTGTGTCATGTGAACAAAAGACTCATAAAAAATATGAGCAATTTAGGCCTTATTCCAAATATCTCTCTCAATGACTTTGACAAATGTGATTCTTGTAGTCAGGCTAAGATTACAAAAACACCTCATAAATCAGTGATTAGAAACTCAGAACCATTAGACTTAATTCATTCGGATATTTGTGAACTAAATGGAACGTTGACCAGAAATGGACAACGATACTTTATCACCTTTATTGATGATTGTTCTGATTATACTTGTATTTATTTGATGAAAAATAAGAGTGATGCTTTTGAAATGTTTAAGTTGTTTATAACAGAGTTTGAGAATCAGTTTAACAAGAAAATAAAAAGATTACGAAGTGATCGTGGAACTGAGTATGATACTGATGCTTTTGTAGAATTTTATAATTCACATGGTATCATACATGAAAGGACAGCTCCTTATTCCCCAGAAATGAATGGAAAGGCTGAAAGGAAAAATAGGACCTTTACAAAATTAGTAGTTGTTATTTCCTTATATTCTGGTGCTGCTGATCATTGGTGGGGTGAAATTCTACTAACTGTTTGTTATGTCTTAAACCGTATTCCAAAGACTAAGAGTAAGGTTTCTCCCTATGAAATACTTCGTAATAAACGACCTAACATTTCTTATTTCAGATGTTGGGGTTGTCTAGCATATGTTAGGATTCCTGATCCTAAAAGAGTTAAATTAGCTAGTAGAGCTTATGAATGTGTATTCATTGGATATGCTATTAACAGTAAGGCATATAGATTCTTTGATTTAAATGCTCGTGTAATTATTGAATCTAATGATGTTGATTTTTATGAGGACAGGTTTCCTTTTAAATCTAGAAATAGTGGGGGTTCGTCCACCTCTATTATTCCTAAAGTCAGGTCTAACTCACAAGAATTGGATTCTGAACCCGAACTAAGAAAGAGCAAGCGGGCTAGAGTAGCAAAAGACTTCGGCCCAGACTTTGTAGTTCTTAATGTAGAGGAGGATCCTTCTACCCTCCAAGAAGCTCTAACCTCAGTTGATGCAGATTTATGGCAAGAAGCCGTGAACGACGAAATGGACTCACTTGAGTCTAATCGAACTTGGCATCTAACTGAGTTGCCACCAGGCTGCAAGTCAATTGGTTGCAAATGGGTCCTAAAAAGAAAGCTAAAAGTTGATGGGACCGTTGATAAGTTCAAAGCCCGTTTGGTAGCTAAAGGCTACAGACAGAGGGAGAATGTTGATTTCTTTGATACCTATTCACCTGTAACTAGAGTAACATCTATTAGAGTACTAATATCTCTTGCTTCTGTTTTTAATCTTGTAGTACATCAGATGGATGTAAAGACTGCATTCTTGAACGGTGAATTGGAAGAAGAAATCTACATGGATCAACCGGAAGGATTCGTTGTTCAAGGAAAAGAGCATCTGGTATGTAAGCTAGATAAATCTCTTTATGGTCTCAAACAAGCACCTAAACAATGGCATGAAAAATTTGATAACTTAGTCATCTCACATGGTTTTAAGATAAATG